TTAAGTTAAATATTTTTTTTATCCTTTACTTTTTAAAAAAGGTCTTTTTTAATTCTTATACTAAATTTTTTTTTCTAATCTTTAAAGTTTAAAAATTTTAATTTTTTTTAAAATTTTTCGTTAAATTTTAATTAAACATATTTTCAACCAATAACTTTTTTCCCTTTATTTTATATTAAAAAAAAAATATTATTACATTTAAATAACATAAATAAGATAATTAAAATTAAAATTTAAGTTAAATACTTTTTTTATCCTTTACTTTTTAAAAAAGTTCTTTTTTAATTCTTATACTAAATTTTTTTTTTCTAATCCTTAAAGTTTAAAAAATTTAACTTCATTTGAATATTTTTCGTTAAGTTTTAATGAAACATATTAATTAAGAAAAAATTTATATGGTTTTTTATTTAAATTACATAAAATTTCATATGATAAAAATTAATAATATTATTAAATTTTTTTATTAATATAACCTTAAAATCATTTAATTATATAATTATTAATATAAATATTATAAAGTTTATTATTCTCCCATTCCTATTCCTCTGCTGTTTTTTTCTTCCTTTTTTTTTTTTCACCTTCAGGTTCGCGCGAACCCAAGCGTAGGGTTTGTCGCGGAACCCAGGAGCTGGGTTCGCCTAGGTTCGTCTCAAAACCCAAGGGAAGGGTTTGCGACGAACCCGCGTCTGGTTTGAGACGAACCAAGCTCCTGGGTTCGTCGCAAACCTAGGCGCTGGGTTTGTCTTGAAACCCAAGCGCAAGGTTCGCCACGAACCCAACTCCTGGGTTTGTCTCCAAACGGAAGTTGAGGGGATTTTCGGTTTAGGGGGAAAGGAAATGAGGAAGAATACGGTAAGTATTTTCGGTTTGTTTCTTTGATTGGATGAGGAATAATATAGTTAAGTATTTTTGGTTTGTTTCTGTGATTGGATGAGGAAGAAGAAACAAATGTGCCTGGTGTTGGTTGGTTTGAAGTTATAAATTGATCCTTTATATACTAGTTTTTTCGTAAATAAAAGGAAGTGTGAGGATAAAATGGGAAGACCATGTCAATTTCATTAAATTAGAAGCGAGAAGCTCCTGCGGAAGTAAGAAATGGGAGCTTCTGGGCTTTGCAAAGAAAAGGTGAGAAGCTGAGCTTCTCAAAAGCTGCAATAAGTTTGGGAAGCTGACCCGTTTGGTGCAGTTTGTGCTTTTCGAGCCAAAAAGCTCTTCCCACAATCTGCACCAAACAGGATCTAATTTCCATAAGCTACCAAAGTGTATTATGCCATTTAACAGTTACTGTAGATGAATAATATAGTACATATTTTTTATATTTTTAAATTAATATTTATATTAGCATCTAATTATGAAGAAGAGTAGTATTGATTTTTTTTTTATAATTTTTAATATAATATTTTCTTTTAATGTTATTTATAACAGTATTTTTTTTTTACAAATTATGAAAATGGAGAATGTTAATATTACATCAAATAAATGTGAACAACAAATTGATACAAGTTTAATTTTACTTTTATTTTTATATTGTATTAAAAAATAGTTGATTTAACTTGTTTTTTTATGTATTCTTATTATAAATTTAAATTATATTTTTGTTATTTTTAGATTTTATTCTTGTGAGGAAAAATGGTCGTGGCATATAAAAAAATATGGCTTTAAAGAAGAAGATGGAGAAAGGTCGATCTTTTGACCTTCAATTTCCTCTTGAATTTAAAAAAATGTGTGGAGAAGATGCAGCCTTCTCAAAATTAAATTGGCATATGTATCAGACATTTTGCAAAGCCTTGTTTGAGTTGGAGCAAGCTTGAAGAGAATGTTAAAAACTTTCTATGGACAATTTTAAAGGTAATACTTCTTTTTAACTATAAATTACTTATTATTATTCTTGATTTTTTGAGTAGATGAGTAGATAAAGATTATAATGATGCTTACCGTTCACCCTATTAATTTGCAAGATAGTTTCTGGATTCCTAAAACCCACTTGTTAAGCTCACAATCCAATGTTCCTCTTTTTGCTTTCATCTAGCTAAACATAAATAACTTCTGAAACCTAATTAACCTCGGCCTTGGACATTTCAATCCCCTTTAAATGCATATATATTCCTATGCAATTTTATATTTCATACAGTAGTAAAGTAAATAAGGGGTTATTTTACTCTCATGTTTTAAGGTAGTGCTATTTTTATTTTGTTATATAAATATATTAAAAGTTAATTTGTAATATTTCATTAAATGATTCTAATTAATTTAATTTTATGTTAATTTTTCAGCGTAAATTCAAGTTAGATGAGAATGCCAGCAATATTGTGATGAAACAATGCCAAACTCAATTCAAGGCACGACATAATAAATTATATAAAGAATATCGTACAAAAAGAATTCGTCCAAATTATGTTAAAGAAACTGAGTGGAATTGGTTAATTCAGAATAAATGGGAAATTGACAATTTCAAGGTACATTAATATTTATTATTTTATTTTTAATTTTAAATATTTAAATATTATTAATTTCTTTTTACTCTAATATTCTATAAATCATAGTATTTAAATCTTAGGTATCAAATTGTAGGACAACACTAATAAAAATAGTCTTAATAGGATGAAGGTTCAAATCCCATCCACTACTGGCACAAACTCAATTATCCAAATTGTTCATGAACTGGTAATTACTCATTTTTAAATTTACAATAAGTAATAGTTTTGTATATCTATTCTATGTTGATTAATGTATAAATTTTGATTGATTTCTTTTCATTGTCATAATAGAAAGAAGGGTCAGAAACAAAAACATTGCCTTCTGTGTCAAAAGTATGGGAAGTGAGAGGATTGAATGCGAACAAGCAATGGAAAGTTCCTGATGGGGAAAGAATTTTGGTAATTATTTGTATCATTTTTATATATTCATTTGCTATTTTTTTATAATATTTTATTTTTTTTTCCTATAAGAACAACTTCAAATTGTTGAAGTGGAAAATGCTAAAAAGATTTCCTCAGCTCCTATTCCACTCATAGAACATTTTAGGCAAGGGTTAGGACGACTTAAAGGAGGATATGCCCGAGGTCTTGGGATAGGAGGACTTTCGAATTGCTATATGGAACAAGTGTTAATTAAAGCACGTGAAGAACAGGCGACAAAACGTGCTGATGATTTGGAGAAGAGGATTTCAAATTTGGGTGATACTATAAAAACGCAAGATGATTTAATTAACTAGTTACACAATTTGGTTGAAGATTTGCATAATCAAGTTAATGAATACAAGAATGCAGGAAGCGAAAACGAAAATGTTTCTGGGATTAAACTATCTGAATCACAACTTCAACAGATTGCAGCTTTTGTGATGCAAGGGTCAAAATGATATTAGTCTCATTTCCATTTAGGATTTATTTTGTTATTTCTATTTTTCAGATTTATTTTAGTTGGAACAAACAAAACTTAGTTGTTTTTAATTTTATTTAATAATATTTTTATTTTGAATAAATTTTTAGTTATTCAAATATTAAATTATTATTTTATAATTGAATTCCAAAAATTTTTCAATTCAACGTGTTTAAATTTATGGATATAATTTTATATTTTTAATTATTTTAAAAGAAAATTTAATTGAAATTATTTAATAAAGTATTATTTAATTTAAAATTTTATTTTTATTCAATTATGATACTTAATTCTTAGTGACTAATTTTGTAAGAGACTATTTTATAGTTGTTTTTTCAGTAGCGCAATCATTTAAGACTAGTGTTTATTAAATTTTCAAAAATGCCCTTCTTTTATTTTTTGGGATATTTTTTTTTAAAATTAAAATCTCTGTCACACATTCAATTTGTGACCTTTTTGTTTTGTCATTGATAATAATAGTTGTAACAAGTTTTTGGGCTACAAATAATCCTAATTGTGACCAACATGGTAGTATTTGTTTCATTTTTTTTAGTCACAGATAATTCTAGTTGTGATTAAAAGGAAACGTCACAAATGATTTAATATTAGTAACCAAATTTTATGTCACAAACAATTTCTTTTATGACGAGATATACATGTTACAAATGAGGTTCTTTTTTGTGTCTAATTATTTTGTCACAAATAGTCATCATTATGATGCAAAAATTCGTTACAAATACGATAGTAATTGTGTCCATCTTCACTGTAACTAAAATCATGATTTGTTGTTACGATTCTAAAATTAATTACTATTACTTTTAGTGACTTAATATTTGTAACGGATAATAACCAATTAAATTTTAGATACAAATATAATTTATGACCAAAAATTTTAATTTTTATAACTAATTTTCTGGTCACAGTTAACCGGCCCGTTTCCTTGTAGTGTGTATACCATTCATTTTTAATGGATATTCTCTAAGCCCCACATCCTAATTCAAAAACCTAACACTGCTTCCGTCATGCATCTGCCACCTCAAACCGTAACTGCCTACCTAACACAAACTCAAGTTGCTTCAGTGGTTAAACCGTGCGATCAAAAAATAAGATATCGGTACATATATTCTTTAATTAAATACCATTCATAATAGTTGAAATGTATTAAATTAAAAAGAAATTATAAAAAAATTATTATTTTTAAATTTAAATTAGAAAAAAAACTTAAAATTTCATATTTTATTAATTAAACTGATAAATGTAGGTCAGTGTGAATATTAACTAAATTAAAAGAATTCAAAATTTCTATTTTTCAAAATATGAGCTAGTATTGGTAGCAACACGGATCCTCGCAAGATTTCCATCCCCATTAATTACCTGTGTCCATGAGGTTTTGGATCGCGTACTCATGTACTCCAAATAATAAAAAATTTTGATTTGTCTAGAAAAAAAAAAAATCTGTGGGAGATACCGTTCCCAAAATTGATATGAAACGAAGATGATATGACTTCCAATCCTTGCACTGTCCGGATGCCATCCCTATTCATGAATTATGATGGAAGAGAAATATGGAATATTATAGAAGTTAGATTTATGGCGGGATTTAAGCCTTTAATATTTTACCTACGTTACCTTATTAAGCCCAATTTGCTTACGTAACCGGTACTCATGTAAAAGTAAAAATTGGACTAGTCCAAATGATTCGAAAAGCTTTAGTTGGGTGAAAGTTTTAGTTAGGTGAACAGTATTAGTTAGGTGAACAGTATTAGTTAGGTGAAAAGTTTTAGAAAGGAAGTTTCAAATCATTTGGACAGGGGACCAATATTATATTTCTAAGGATAGATTATTTGATTTATATATTATTACAAAATCTGCATTTTGAAAAGATGCATGTTTATGTTTCCATATGATTCTGCATTCAAGAAAAAATATATCACCTCAT